AAAGGGGATAGCAACATATTTATTTTTAAATGGCAAAATAACACATTTTGCATCTATGTCACATAGCTTAGCAATTTGAATGTTGTTGTCCAAATTAGAAACTATTACAATTCCTAGCAGATTTGACTCCAAGGGAACAGTAAAAAAGTTTTCCATTTGTTGAAACGATTGATTAACTACAAAAATTTTATCATCATCAGATAATACAATATTTTTCACCAAAGAAACTTTTTCATTTATTCGTACACAGCTGTCCTTAAATTTTGTTTTTAACACATATTTTTCTGTTTCTACCTTATGGAACTGATGACCATCTATGATGGTATCTGGAACAGGTCCATTACTATGACTTTTTGTTAATTTGGGGTATAATTTTTGTTCTTTTTTTGTGTCTGCTTGCTCTGAAAGCCTACGAATGATTTGAGGCAATGGGAATTCTGGTTTCCGTACCATTCTCTTTAAATTTGACAAGAAATTTTCAAAAGGAAACGCTGAAATATTTTCTAAACTGCCAAATTTATGGGCATCATTTGCCAAATGAACTAATGCATGCACATTGTAGACTGCCATATCACGCCCATACACTTCATAAAAGTGGGAAACAAAAGCAACAAGCAGGTCATTTGCATATACATTATATTCTTGAAAAAGTCTTTCGTTCAACAAGATATGCATTCCTACAGACAAAAGCAAAAAATTTTTATACATATTTTGGTGAATGGTCCCGTAAAGAGCAATTAGACCTGTATATAACAAAAACTGCCTGAATTCTGTCGCTTTCCACCTATCTATTTCTTTTAAAGATCTGGGTTTTCTTGCAAACTCTGATGGTATACTTTGTTTTAAGTCAATCAAACAAGAAGAAATTTGCTCAATGACCCTTGACCCAAGTCTACACTTCAAAGGACCTTTTATCCACAGAAGAAGTAATCTTTTTACGACCCCAAGACAAACCAAATGCATGTAATCAATGGGTATTTGTGAGACCATCCCTATCTCAATTCGAGTCAGACAAGAAATTCCCTTGTGATGGTCTTCATCTTGTCTCCTTTCAAAAGAATAATCAGTTCTGAGAGGGGCACTGGTTTCTGGAAATGTCATTTTACCTTCCCAGACCCCATTCTGAGTGCACTTATCACAGCCATGGTAACCAGAATAAGATTTGACACATTTAACAAAGGATTTAGCTGGTGAATCACATATTACTGAATCAATCAAAATTTTGAAAACTTTACCACAACACTGAAGTCCGTTTCTTTGTATTTCCAAATACTCATTCACAAATTCTTCAAGGAATTCATTGGCATTTTCTGGTTTGGAATGACCGTAATAGAGAGCAATAACAAATGGCTTTTTAATTTTGTAAACCTCCCTAAAACTGGCCAAAATTGATCACTTGTACTTTTAAATAATGGTAAACCATCTATATTTATTTGAATCTTTAAACAGTGTTGATCGGGTAAAGTGTCAATTAATGAATTGAGTCCGAGTTGTTGAGTCACAGTTACAGATAAGCCAAAATGGTAATACTGTCCCCCGCACTTGTTTGGAATTAAGTAATTTACTTTCGTATTTAACAAAGTTCGTGCATCCTTAGGTAGTGAAGGATGATATTTTCTCAGAATTTTTATTAAATCAGAAATAGTAACATTGGGAACTTGGTGTTCAACAGCCCACTTTCTTAGTTCCTCAGAAATCTCTTCACATTGATTAATTTCTAACTCAGAATCAGACTCCTTATCAGAATAGAATTGATTGTCTAAAAGCGTTTCAAGATTAACGTGATCATGATCAGTATCATTTTCCCTCTCAAAATCAGTTTCCCCTTGATTATTACTAGTGCCTTCAGGATTCAGGCCCGCCCTTGTATCCAAACACTCCCTATTTTGAAAATCATGAGCTACAGGTTCGGGAATCAAATCTGATGCATTTGAGTTTGTAGCTTGTAATTCTGAATTCATAGTGCTTATATCTAGAAAATGTCCCTCAAGATTTTTTCTAACCTGTCGTCTAATAGACCAATATGACGATCCTCGTGTTGCCATGATTATTAAGTACAAATACAAATGACTAAACAAATGACTATACAAATGCAAGATCAATGAATGTTCCAAGTTCAAATATTAAAATCAATATTTAAAAGATACAATGAGTATACAATGGTTTGAAAGTTAGGAGAAGCTTACCTACAAACAAAACAAGTTAGATATCACAAACTAACCAATATTTAATTTACATTCTAGCTATTAAACACAATAAATTTCTCTTAATATATATATTATTTGATTATGAAAATATTTTTACTTACATCTCTTTTCAGACACACTGTTGTTTAATCCATAGAATTTGAATTTCCCTTTCTCTTACTTGCCCGCGTTTTGAGTGAAACATCCACATGTGGGTAATTAAATTTGACAGCATCACCATTTAAATCGCTGCGACTCTCTCGGTTTAGTGTTTTGTTTCAATGCAATTATAAAGCTGGTTAGAAACGCTATCTTGATTTATGTGTATTTTACCTCTTTTCGCATCCTGTCTCTGGGAATATTTTCCAATTAGTCATAAAATTCTATATTATGTAAGCTGTTGTAGGGTAACTCTCAATTTTGTCTTAAGTTATTTTCCCCCGTTATAATACACTCATGGAATTATAAATTGTATAAGAAATCAACAGACTGGATGGTAACTATACTTGAATGCAACATTTCATAACTATATCTGCTTTACAAAGTGTGTAGAACAGAGAACATTTTTATTTAAAACATTTTTCCTTTCAATAAATTAAGTTCAAATCGCCATTTTGCTATCAGTTATTAAGCAGATGCACAATATCTTAACATTAGTAGTCTTAGGCAGACTGGGCTTATATTATAAAAAAAATATACTTCTACTAACTTGTATATGTACATCATTACCTCAAAACTTACATTGTACATCATATATATTTAATTTATGGACCAATTAACAATAATCATGTGTCCAAGGTATGAAAACAGACAAAGGAATACTCTTGTTTATGGAGGGCCAACGTTGGTCCAACGTACTGCTAGCTTGAATAGGCATGTCTTTAGGAATGCAATTACAAATGATACGAATTCGTGCCTGTATAGAAAATATAGCTTATATCGGTTAGTTAACGTTGGACCAACGTTGGGCGAATGTATAAGTGCCAACTTACTCGGAAATAGAGCAAAAAGAAATCGGATGATGTTGGACCAACGTTGGGCCAACGTGAGAATCCCATCTTCCTTGGAAAAGATACCAAATAAGAGTCGGTCAACGTTGACCCAACGTTGGGCCAATGTATGAATCCCAACTTCCTTGGAAAATAGAGCAAACAGAAGTTGGTTAACATTGTACCAACGTTGGGCCAACGTAAGGATCCAACCTTCATTGAAAAAGATAGCAAGTATGTGCTGGTTAACGTTGGGCCAACGTTGGGCCAATGTAAGGATACCAACATGGTTGGGTACTATATAGAGAAAATTGACAGTGTAACGTTGGCCCTACGTTGGCCCAACATAGCATACCCAACGCCAACCATTGACCAACAATACACCCATTTACCAACGTTGGCCCAACGTAGTCATGCTGTCTGGGTTTTCGGAGATAAGATAACTTCAGGATGTGAAAGTGGGCGTTTTTGATTTTTCAATTCTTTGAAAATTCTTTCTATCTTAAATGTTTTACTATTTACTTCAATTTTTCAAGTTTGCTTGCATTTTATGTAAACTAAAATTTATTGAAATTTTCAACGTCATACCAGTTATGCGAATGCATGTACATATATTTTGGTGTATTGCAGACAGAGGTACAGGGAGGGATTAGAAACAAAAATGTTTTGCGACGATATACATAAATTAATATAGGCATTGCAAATTGGAGCATACGTGGGGATCCACTTTTAATTTGCTGCTATTCATAAAAAAAAGTTGGGATGAGAGACCTTCCACTCCTCTTTTCCTTGTTCTCAATAAGGATAAATGAGGGTAATCAAATCAATACATGTACATTTAAAACGTTTTTTGAAAGATATAATAATTACACATTTCAAATCAGTTACTAAAATCTAAGTCAAAATTGAAATTTTTTTATACATATTTTTTTTCAAAATGCGTTAAATGTCACAATGGTAAAAATGTTGATGTACATTCTGAACGCACTTTGAAAAAGAATTTCAAAGTGCGTTGAGTGTGTCCAAAATTTAACACATTTTGATTTTTTTTTTCAAAGTGCGTTGACATTGTCCCAATTTTAACGCACTTTGAATTTTTTTTGAAAGTGCTGGGCGACATACCGATGACGATTGAATACACTGAACAGGGACGACATGAGTGGCCCTCTATATGGGGGGCTTAAGATATAGCGAGAGTCCAATCAAACATGACGTACAAATTCTGTTCTCGAATTGTATTCAGCTTAAGAACATAGTTTTACAGCTGAACAATACTCATAAATAAGCGTCGTCAAACAGGTATAAAAACCCTTTGATTTCGTTATATCCGATTGCACACATGCATCTCGTGGCCGACGTGTAGTATTCCTTTCGTGGCCTCAGATTTCTTTGCGTTTATTCATTGTTTTAAGTGCAAATTTTTAACGAAAATAAATCAATAACTTGTTTAATGTTAGTTTTCTCCTGGCTCGAAAAAAGTGCGTAACAATTGATAATTTCATTGTGACCAATTAAAACGACAAATAAGATGTACGTCCTCTCAGGTGAGACCTCTACAGAGAAATACTTTGAACTGTTAAAAAGTCTTTGGCTTATATAGTGGTTGTTTGAATAGCGGCGATGAAAAAGAAATATGGCGGTCAATGCCTTTCAAGAGTAGTGTTCAGCTAAATTTCATGTACAAACTAGATAAAGAAAAGTGAAGTAGTAAAAAAGAAGATACTTATAATGTGTGAGTTCCTTTAATTTCAAGATTTATTCGAAAGACTCGGACCTTTGATTTACATTTAATAATTATATTTATTGAACCTTTGGTGATTTTTAGTTTGAGGAATTGTGTACGTTTCTCTTGCTTGTGATGGTCTTTCTCTTGGCTTATGGCGTCGCCAGCCAATCACTGCTGTACAGACAGAAAAATGTATCATGTATAAAGGATATCATTATTCTTATTAAAGACATTGTGTTTTATCCATACTGGGAGCTATATGGAGAATTGGAGTTTGACAAATCTATTGAAAGTAAGTCAATATATAAGAACAATACCAAAATATAAAAACATAGCTAATTATATAGTCAATACAAATAAAAAAAAATCAAGGTTTTGAAAAAAAATATATCAAAATATAACTTACCTATCTGGTTATTTAAATAGAAAGTGTTTTAATACTGAGTTTTATTTTAAGACAAATTTAAGTAAGCGTAAACTCTGAGATAGTCACAAAATATGGCTAAAATATGAGGAGTTAAAGATTATTGGCTTCACAGGTCCTTGTGGACAGGATTCCCCCTTAATATATGACCCCTAACTTGTAAATTCTGTACACAATAAGGGAGATTATAAAGGGGTATTTTTTGTAAGGAACGGTAATCTGGAGTTTTAACTAATTTTTTCGTATTGTATGCATGAAAAGGAAGCTTAATACTAGTAAATATAAATTGTAAAAAAAAAAAATTACAAGCTAGGATTCATATATTGGGGAGGGGAAGGGGGGTCCTGTCCACAAGTACCTGTGATTGGCTTCAATGAAATTGTTGATAGTGAAATTCACCATTGAATTAGCTTTGATAACATTCTAAGTTTTTAATTATTTACATACATTCACTGGATACGTTCCATATTATATCTAATGAAACCCATTGCCGTTTTCAATCCTCTAAAACTAAACTACCGTATATACTCGCCTATAAGTCGGTTGTATTTTTTGACGCTATTTTGGTGGGATATGCTATTGACCCGCTTATAAGTCGGTACAATTTTTTGCCAAAAGCTGGTGACAATTTCAAGTAAATCCATTGATGTTTAAACCTAGTTTCAATTAATATTTTTCGAAATGACACTGATATTCTATCTTAAATTATTTTAAAAAAGGCAATGCTCACTTAAAATACAAATAAAATTATCAAAATATGTAAATACTTGTACTTTTTATATATAATCTAAGAATACATAAATCATCTTATATATCCAGACATTTTCTTTGATAATCGACGGACATGCAAATAAGATACTAATTTTAGCCTCCAGAAAAATACCTCTCTTTACGACTCGCCTATAAGTCGGACATAGAGTTTTAGACCAATATTTAACTCCCAAAATACCGACTTATAGGCGAGTATATACGGTAGTTATAACCAGTTTTTGAAATATTTACTAAGTACTGAATCTTGTACGATAGAGTAAACATTTTGTTCGTTTTTGTTAAAATCACAACTGGCCGTGGATGGATTTCTCCATTCATGAACTTCTTTCATAATCTCTGTATGTTATTTAAATTAATTGTGTTTCAGCTGATTGTGACTGTTTGAGTAAAGTGAATGCTACAACGTATCAATCTGAGATGTTACGCTATGTGGCAAAGTCGAAGTGTAAGCAGAAACATTGGCTTGTTTACATCCTTTGTGCTGTCTACCTCATCATGGGGAACGTCCTACTCTTTAATCTTCTTATTGCCATCTTCAAGTGAGTCCAGTATCTTAAATTCTCTTGTAAACCTAAATGTACAGACACCTTCAGTTTTAAGCTTTCAAATTCCATAAAATATCGTTGTTTGTGGCTTAATTGGTAACGCATTGGACTAACTTTATCAAGACCAAGAGTGAGGAATGTCAAATTGATAAATATTTAGTTAACCTGTTCGTCACATGATTCTTGTTTTTTTCCAGCCATATCTTCACCAAGGTTGAGGAGAAATCTAACGAGATTTGGAAGTTCCAGATGTACTTCCTCACCATGGAGTTTGACAATAAGACGGCCTTGGTCCCTCCCCTCAGCATTATCCCTCACGTGTATCTCTGTTTTATGTGGTTGGCTAGAAAAACTTGCTGCCGAAAGAAATTCAGTGGTAAGAGAACACTAGCAGATTATATGGAAGGGTAAAGGAGCAATACTGGAGGTGGTTGGAAAGGTGGACACTGAAAAATCATTAAGGATAGAAAAGGAGAACTTAAGAAATCCTAAAGGGAAAAGGGAAAGTTGTAAAACCTGGAAAGGTGGGAAAGTAAAAATGGGAGAGGGAAAGGAGAATCTGACAAATTCTAAGGAAAAGGGGGAACTAGCAAATCTTTCAAATAGAAAAAGGGAAAACTTGGAAAGCGTTCAGGATAGAAAAAAAGCTGTCAATCCTTCAAGATAGAAAATGGAAAACTGTCAAATATCTCTGGTTAAAAAAGAAAAGAAAAATATAACATATATGTAAAAATGAAGAAAAGGGGAGCCTGGCAAATTTTTCATGATTGAAAAGGGAAAATTTTAGATAAGGTAGGCAAAAAATTTAAGGAAAGTGGCAGATTGGGTAAGAAAGAGATGTCTTAAGATTCTAAAATTGTAATTTACAAAACAGTACTATTAAATCATTAATTTTTGGGATGGGGTGGGGTAATTTTCGTTTTTTTTTTTTTGGAATGAAGTTCAAAATTCAATAGCTCCACACAATGTAAAATCTCAAATATGTAACAACAACAACAAAAAAAAAAAAAAAAAAAAAAAAAAAAAAAAAACACAAATCCCCTTGAACTATTTTTTACCTTAAAACACGAAAATTTTATACCACAAAAATATGAGATGTTGCTGTAAATATAGAAGTATTCTTTTTTATCATCACAGGTAAGTTGTAGATCCCATGTGAAAGATATTTCATAAAAATCTAAAAAGCAGCATAAAGCATAATATGAAAAGAAAAAATTCTAAATGCCATCCGTGTCAAGTTCTTAAGAAGTTATTGAATCTGGCTATGTGCTTGGAAATAGAAACCTAGAATATACAGTTTATAAGTGTGAATTTGGATATCCGAAATTATTTTTAAATAGTGCAGTGATAGTGAAAAGAGTAAATCATAAAATGTGGAATAATTTATTTTTTCAGATTTGCTATACCGGGTATTTCTTTCAATAAATATATTGTGTTCGTCTTAGGAATACAGTTCACACAGAGACACCTGGAATTTCTACAGCTCTTCGAGAAAGAGGAAATGGCCAACTATCTAAGACGTATCAAATCAGAGCAAAAAGGTTCAACAGAATCCAAACTACAAAAGCGGTAGGTTAACTTCCTCAAACGAATTAAATCAGAGCATAGAGATTCAACAGAATTCCGAGTACTAGTGGCAAGATCCAACAGAATCTAAACTTCAAAGGTGAAATTGAAGTTTGTGAAGAGAATGAAACATCAAAAAGAAAGATAAAGTAAAAGAATTGAGTCTTTTCTTCAATGCAGGGTAGAAGAACTGTTTAAATTGGTAGAAGAGGAACTAGCTGCTGACCACGGAGGAGGTTCATTTAACCAGACGTTAAGCGCCACACAGACGGTCAAACTGGCCCATGAGAACACACCAGAGTCTTGTCCCCAGGAGCCCAGCGGTTGGCCTAGGACTGAGGCTGTCCTTGACTATGCCAAAATGCTGGAAGAGAAAGAAACAAAGGAGGTGTGGGTAAGTTATGTTTTTCCCTATACAATACATGTACTACATATTTCTTATATCACTTAAAGCATTTGAAGCATTCATTGGAGAAATGGGGGGGGAAAAGTTCTTTGAATGTTAAACACATATATCTTAAAACAAGTCAAAGCTTCTTTAACTTTTTGTCATTTCGAAGGATGTTGTTGATAAAGATCAAGTGAAGAAAAGAAAGAAACATAAAAAAGAAAAGAAGAAAAAGCAGATGCAAGAGATGGAAAATAATTTGTCTGATGATTCATGTAGTGATGATGCTCAGCCCCAAGTTCTAGATTCGTCTATTATAATAAGTATGCCCAGAAGAACACAGTCGTCCAACATACAGGAGAGTGACTCCGATTCTGACAGACCTAGAGGAATGCGGTCAAAGAAATCACTCCTCAGGGTGGAAAGCAGTACAGAGGATGAAAGGCGATCTAAAAAGAGGTTTTTTAAACGACGAAGAAGTCGGCAGATGTCCGATACAGAATAAACATTTTCTCTAAGTCTCCTGTGACTATGATTCCTTGTTTTTTTTTTTCAACTGTGATTGAAATAAGAAAATTACTTGTATATTAAATATGAGATTTACAATATTGCTAGATTGGATTATTGCTTTGATCGATCGAGTTTTGATTGTGCGTTACAACGTTATTAGAAAAAGATTTCTTAAATTCTTTTTTCTGTGGATTAATTTCAACCTTTTTATCGAGTGCAGTTTTTGAAATTCTTTTTGCAAATAAAACCATTTGAGGTTTTCTTTTTAGTGTAGAAACTAAACAATTTGTTATTCTTAAGTATTGTTTTAAACAATGAAATACTTACTGGTAACTTCATGAACAATGACTTTCGGAGTGTTATGTTTTAAGAATCATCTTTATGACATTCAAGTATTAAAACAAGGAAACATCACTGTTTTTTAATCATCGAAACAGAATTTTTTTCTAGATTTCTAGATTCTATCAATTACTTAATGTTGTATCTCTGATAAAAAGTGCATGCAACTCGCATCATCAATTTGTGATATACAATATATTTATAATCATTCATACCCTGCACACGGAAAATCACTATTTTGGGGGGGGGGGGGAGACTTTTTTCCCGTCAAGCCATAACAATCTGACTCCACACAAAAATAATTGATTTTATAGTAATATAACGCCTAATTTACAATGTAGATATTTATATGTATATCACCTTTCTTGGTTATTTCATGATTTTTCCTGAAAAATTAAGTAAAATTCTACCATTCTACCATATTATGTTTAGACCTTTTTGCTATCCACTAGTATGCTTTCTTATTGCATAGACTTCTACATGTAAAAGAAATATTCATATTGATTAATTTACAAGTAATATTTCATGAAAACATCTTTAATTGCTCGACATTTTTAAAAGTATGAATGCTTAACCTTGCAATGTATTTTGATGTATTGCGATTTTTACCTGGCTAAAATAACGTCATTTAATTCGAATGGAAATATATTTGTCTGTTTAATCAATTATGTTTTTGCATTTGTATATATTCTGTACATTTACAATTGTTTTATTTTCTTCTTTAATGCATGAGTTTTCTCATATAATTCCGTCAACAAGTAGCTCTTACGAGGTTTGTATCTGATGATATTTAACCTGATACATGTAAAAGAACCCTGTAATAGTCAAACTGCAGTTATTGTAAAAGTAACCTGTCCAGTGTACATATATATAGCTTGCTCACTCCTCCATGACACCTGACCCCCCCCCCTCTGATGTTTCGGAGGTCCGTGTTTGCTCTGCTTCTATTTTGTATTGTTTTATGGACCTTTGATATTTAATACTGTTCATTATCTCCATATCGCTTCATTTATTACTGTAATTAAAAGTTTTCCAAAAGCTTTAATTTTTCCTACATTTTTAAAACCTAAAAAACCAATAACAAATACTACCTGACCAGTAGTTTACTAGATAGTAAGTCTATTATATATGTTTCTTGGTAATTTTGATCGAAATCAGTAGTACATGTACATTTTTTTTGTTTATAGATTTAAATAAGAAATGTGATTGGGTTCAATTAAAGAGAAATTAGTATTAAATTCATGTTGTGCGTTGGATAGCTTGACAATTCAATTTTAATTTTTAATATACATTATATTAGATTTATTATGTGAGGAAAAATATAATATTTTAGTATAATCTATATTGAATTTTACATAGGTTATTTCAAGCTACTTATCTATAGAAAATTATTATCTATATTTGAGACACTGTCTTGTTATGACAAACTAAACAATATAATTTAAACCATGTGTTTATAACATATGGAACTGTTACTCTTTTTTCCATGGTATGATATATAAATCATTGCCTTTGTGTACTTGTTGGATTATGTCAAGGCATCATTTTACATTTGTTGATGATTAAATCTGATACTATTTTATTAAATCCTGTTTCTGTTTTTTTTAGTCTAAATTACAGGGAAATAATTCTCAAATATCATATTCTTATCTAAGTTTAATGTATAGGTCTATTGATATTAATACCATAAATGTAAATGCTTCTCAGGAAACACAATTTTACATTACTGAAAGGATTCTGTGGTATGAAAATCCGGCTAGGCAATTGAGGTATCTGGTTGAAATAAAAATCAAACAACAAAGCAAATCAGTGATTGCTAAAGATAAGTTTCAGTAATGATGAACTTCAAAGAAATATTTGTCACCTGAGTTTTTATAATGATTTGTCATCATTTATTTACAATTATGGTCAGGCAAAACTGGTTATTAAAGCTAATTTATGACTAATGAAGCTGATCAGTAATGCTGTAGAACAAAACCATACATTGTTTTTCTTGACGATTGTGCATGTACATGTATATCGATACTCTCAATAAGATGACAAATTTTTATATGGCCAAATTTTTACCTTTAACCTTGGTGTAGTCTTACCATGACTGCAAAGACTCATGTATACTTATCTACAGACACTATGAATAGGACGTTCTATTATATTTATTTATAGAGATAATAGTCTACGACATTTATCTACAGATAGACATAACATTTTACGGAGATTATAGACATAACGTTCTACTGTATTTATCTACAGAGACTATAAGTATAACTGTCTACTGTATTCATCTACAGAGCTATAGACATAACACTCCACTGTATTTATCTACAGAGACTATAGACCTCACACTCTACTGTATTTATCTATAGAGACTATAGACATCACATTCTACTGTATTTATCTACAGAGACTAGAGACATAATATTCTACTGTATTTATCTACAGAGACTATAGACATAACACTCTACTGTATTTATCTACAGAGACTATAGACTTCACACTCTACTGCATTTATCTACAGAGTCTATAGACATAACACTACTGTATTTATCTACAGAGACTATAGACATCACTCTACTGTATTTATCTACAGAGACTATAGATATAACACTCTACTGTATTTATCTACAGAGACTATAGACAAAACACTCTACTGTATTTATCTACAGAGACTATAGACATCACTCTACTGTATTTATCTACAGAGACTATAGACATCACACTCTACTGCGTTTATCTACAGAATCTATAGACATCACTCTACTGTATTTATCTACAGAGACTATAGACCTCACACTCTACTGTATTTATCTACAGAGACTATAGACATAACACTCTACTGTATTTATCTACAGAGACTATAGACCTCACACTCTACTGTATTTATCTACAGAGACTATAGACAAAACACTCTACTGTATTTATCTACAGAGACTATAGACATAACACTCTATTGTATTTATCTACAGAGACTATAGACAAAACACTCTACTGTATTTATCTACAGAGACTATAGACATAACACTCTACTGTATTTATCTACAGAGACTACAGACATAACACTCTACTGTATTTATCTACATAGACTATAGACATAACACTCTACTGTATTTATCTACAGAGACTATAGACAAAACACTCTACTGTATTTATCTACAGAGACTATAGACATCACACTCTACTGCATTTATCTACAGAATCTATAGACATCATTCTACTGTATTTATCTACAGAGACTATAAGTATAACTGTCTACTGTATTTATCTACAGAGACTATAAACCTCACACTCTACTGTATTTATCTACAGAGACTATAGACATAACACTCTACTCTATTTATCTACAGAGACTATAGACATAACACTCTACTGTATTTATCTACAGAGACTATAGACATAACACTCTACCACTGGATGAAAAGTCTAGTTTCCGCAAAACTGAAACTATGCGGAAACCTTGCTGAAACTTGGCGTTGAAGTTTCCTGTATGGTTTCCGCAATGCGGAAACTATATAATAGTTTCAGCAAGTTTCAGTAGGGTTTCCGTATGCTGAAACCATTAGGTTTGTTTCCTAATAGTTTCCGCAAAACGGAAACCAATGTAAAATTTAATGAAACGTCAATTTAACGATACGTTTTAGTTTCAGTAGGTTTCAGTTTCCGGAAACTATTAATTTCGATTCCATATGGTTTCCGCATGCTGAAACCGAACTGAAACTTTTTCTCTATAATTTTTTTTTCAAAAGGGTAGAAAAATCAACTCATATCATCCTTATATTTATTTACACATTAAAAAAAAAAAGGTTTTATTTTTAAATATCTAATAGTTCATATTCAGATTTTGAGATGTGCCTGCTCTGTGTAAACTTACACAAACCGATATTGATATCAATGATAAGCATATTATACAAGATCCTTGCTTCATATTAAATGTATAAAAATTGTTTATTTCATATTGTGTCGGAATTCAAAAATATTATTTTTAAACAAAATCGATTCCTCTCACAAGGATTTTCTACATTACCCAACTCAATACTCCCCCTCGGGAATTGATTATTTTGAAAACATACATCATTTTCACAAAACTACGATTACGTCTAATGTAAAGTTGTTTAAAAAGAAAATTAGTGTGTCTTCATGGTGCATGAAATACAGATAATTACAAGAGTGAACATAATCTGAGATAGAAAGGTTTGCATTTATATTCTTTATACATGTTTCTATATATATATTCCTTAATGGATATCATTTCAATAATTTCAATTTGTTAATTAACAATACATATTGACTAGGAAGCCTTTTTTACTATTCATATATATATAGTTCAATAGTTACATGTACTAGTTATTTTTATAATGACATTGATTTAATATCTACATATATGTATTTTTATTTCCGTCTTCGTGAAAACATTTTATTCGTAAGCCGCGGATTTACAGCATTAAAAATATTACAAGAAAACATGTCCTGAAAATTTGATGTCATGGTTCCCAGGATTTGCAGCATTTTATGTCAATCTACTTAAAATTAAATCTTCTATTTGTTCCCCAAATGTTTATTTACACGAGGAACTCTTATATGTAAAAAGTCTGCTTTTGTGAAACAATACCCTGGGAGCGAATGGAAAATCTCAAAATTTTAATTAGATTGTATATTATGCATAGGCTTTTTTTTTTTTTTTTTTTTTGTTTTATTTCATATATCTTGCTTTCGTGATGTTAATTAATGCAATATCACTGAAAACACGGTATAGTTTTTAGTAATATGTTCAATTATATTCGTATTGAGATGTATAATGTGCTAAATGTGTGATTTAGAACTTAGTTTTTTTTAAATAAATTTAAAGTAGTCTGTAAGTTGATCAAATTTTCAATTCTTTACGTTGAACCCCACTCGCGGGCACCTGTCCTCACGTGCCACAGGTGGGGAGACACGTGTCGCGAAGACACCTGCTACCGTGTTGGTGTATTTCTTGTATATTCTATGTGGATTGAGAGGTTTTTCTACCTTAGAGGAACAATGGACTGTGACCAGGCGTAATATATACACGCAGTACATGGTATACACAACTAGCCTTTTCTAATGACACCAAGGTTACTGAACATTCAAAATTAAAAAATAAATCACACTATATAAAACTTCACCTAAAATCAAACATGTCATATGTATAATGTGTTATGTAACATACTTCATAGAATGTTTCATATTTAGCATAAGAAGTTTTTATTTTATGTATTGGTGATTAAAAGAAAATAGACAAACCTCTTAAATATTTATCTATCAATTTAATATAATAAAAATAATCTATTGGTAAGGAGAATATTTGCTATAGCTAGTTCAATAGACTATTTCAAAAATTTCAATATTATTTTACAATTTCTCCACAAAAAAAAAATCGGCAATCACAAAAAGAAATCGACAATTAATGGTATTCCTTGTTTGCCACCATTGTAAACTTCAAATAATGAAAATATTTAGAGGTCAATAAAACGCAACCTAATGAAAACTAAGTCTATTTTATTTCATAACTTTTTTCTAGGTTATTTCTAAGTACATTATATTAAAACAACGTTTTATTTGTAATTTAGAGTCCAAAACAGAAAAGTGTGAGATTATTACAATAATAAGGAAAAGATAAGTCAATCAATAGCAAAACAATTATTAAAAGCAATTAATAATCCTGTATTATAAAGGAATAAAGAAGAATTTACATATGACATGTGTAAAGGACTATGACCACTTCTATTACATGATATCATTTATATAAATTTGCCTGCAAAATTAAGAGTTTCCGTATCTTCTGTATTGAGTGACCAATATTTTTTTGGTTCATCATCTAAAGCTGAGAAGTATGGAGATTTACTATTAATAAACTGAAATATTTTTTTTTTGGGGGGGGGGGCATGTTTGACGATCATATTTTTTTTTTACATGACAATGTTATAAAAACAAAATGAATTTTACCTCTACATAATCGATCTTCAGGAGAAATATTGGTAAATCTCCCCACTTCAATTTGTAAGTTGTGACAGGAAATTCCTAGATAACAAATAGACTTGTACATTCATGTTGATATTTTCTGAGTAGAAAATTTTCAACAATTGATGAATAATTCTTATTACCCCAATTTTGCTTTTGAGTTGCACATATGTGGTTTAATATGCCATCAGCATAACTTTGTTGACTTGTATACCAGTTTCTTTTTTTTTTTCTTTTTTTTTTTTTTTACACAATAATCGAAGTACATGTGTACATGTGACTTTAAATCATTCTATTTGAAAACATTAGGACAGTCGGAGTCCGTTTCAACAATTACCATAATCATGTAATAAAGGTCTAAAATTCGCTTTTTATCCCCTTCGATTCCATGATCAATTTTATTTTATCATTCAAAACTGTTCATTCTGTTGCCATATATATATATATATACAAGGACATTTGCATTTAAAACGTAAAAAAAAAAAAATTGCCAAAAGAGAAATGCAAAATTTCCGTAAAGAATTTGAATCACTAGGTGGCGTATCGCGGCAGAATGCTTCTCTCTCATTGGTTAGATTTTCAGAGAAGAAAGAAGGACAAAATGGCGAAGAAAACACCAAGAATTTGCTCAAGAAAAACAACAGAGATGAGAAGATCTTTTGAATCTACACTGAAGAAAGGCACCCCAAACGGCAGATTAGATACAGGTAGTTATTTGTTACAGTTCAGAGCACCTTTATTTTTGTTTTTATCGTCTTAAATCGTAAGAATAATGTTGACCTAAAATGGCGCGTTCCAAAAATTCAAAATGACCATTGTACAGTTGTAACAAGTAGAGCTTTTCAAAAAAGCTAACCGTCTTTAGTAACAATTTTAAACAGTAAACAGATTTACACTTAACAGGCCGTATAATTCTTTTGAATTTCTTGATTTTGTATTTCTAAATTAGCTTTTTACGGGCATTAGCCCTACCATGGTTGTCGCTCGGTCATCTCCGTAAACTTTGACTGGCCGAGAGCTTTCGGCAAACCTCGGCTGATTCCCATTCACTCTTCAAACAAGAAAGGGGAAAAGAATAATAAAAAATTGTAAAGCCTGCAAGCAATAACTATTAAATTTTATTTATAATGAAATTAAAGAGACCTTTTTATTTATTGCTATAAAAAATATCATGTTATTAAGAAATAATTACTGCTGATTTTGTTGTTCGTTTTGTCATTTTTTTAAGATTGGAAATGTTGCAAAATTGTTAAGTCGTACGAAAAATAGATCATCAGAAAGTTATCTCCCTTGCCTTGAACAGCATTTCATCCAATGAAATAATTGAAAATTTTCTCATCATGCAATTTCTACCAATAACAAAAGAGAGGAAGTGCATAGTCCGAAGACTGTAAAAAACTTCAACTATACAATACCGTCTTCCAAGGAAGACGGTAATTATTGTGAAAAAGCCCCCTTTAAATCATTCTCAGCTTAGGTTGTTATACAGATAATTAACTGCTGTTTAAACGCATGCATGTATTTTGCACCATTGTATTTATCTTTCATGTTTTTCGTATGAATATTAGAATATGCTATTGTATTTTCTGCATCGTCCCGATCATGTAAAATTTACATAATTTAAAAATTACAACGTGTTGTAGTATTCCGGAATTTTAAATGTAGGTTGGTTTTAGAGGATAATATCGTTATGTACTTGTATCCGGTGTTAACTTTTTTTTCATTTGGAAAATCGAAAGATTTGACCCCACGCTTATGTTTTTTCAGAAAAGCAAAAGGTGAGCTTTATTGTTCATCATAGCTGCTGGATGTGTTCAATGTTATTCTCAGAAGTAGTTTCTTGAATCGTACATTTATTTTTTGCTGAATTGTTTTTATTATTGATGGAAGACTGTGCTGCACAGCTGAGGAAGGGGTTCAATATATTTTTAACATACATGCAATCTAGAATCGTAAATATTAGACATGTAAGAGGGCATCATGATGGGAGAATGCCATTGTGTAGTACTGTATCACTGTGAAATGCCAATTTGTACATGTTGTAGTCATGAAAGTAAAATTCCTGAGAACTTGCAGATTTTTGGGCTATGAAAGTGACTTGATAATTTTCATAATGCCGCACATTATTCAAGTTGAAGTATTTTATTTTCATACCATACATAAGGATTTTAAAGCAAATGTCGAAAGTGAATAAACTATTTATATACAAAGATACATAAGCATCTTTTCGTGCAAGGCATAATTATGATGAATTAAACTTAAAATGATATTTATTTTAAATTAAATTTTAATTTCATGTTGACACATATGCATGTTTTGATCTATATGAAATAAATAAGACTATTTAAGCAACCTAAAACTTGATTTAGTGTGCATGGTTTAATTTTTCATTAGAAATACTTGTTATTTTTGTACCTTGGGCTTCAAATATTAAATGTGGTGCTGCACCGTGCAGTTTCTAAATATCAGAAATCACTTTTAAATCATATTAACCATAAACATGATTCTCTTGATATCAGCAGAACAGCTATTGTTTACCTGTATATAAATTCTGCATTATGATAGACTGGAGCTTGATGAAATGAGCAATTGGCCATTTTCAATTTCTTAAGTTGCATGCATTGATATTATATAGTCATATACTAACCCTTTGTGTGCGGGAACCCAATATATTGGGTCTGACGTCACAAACGCTACCGTGCGGGAACCCAATATGTTGGGTCTGAGTCTGAAATTACCGCTTCGTCACATAAAACGTAGTATAAAACGTATAAATGACTTGTGAATTATTAAGAATCTATCAATATGTATTATAAAACTACAATACATTTGAAAATATGTAATTAAGATGTGAAAATATGCGAATTATTTGTGAAATTGTGATTTAAAGTGAAGGTGATTGGCGTTTGTTACGATGAAAGTCAGTCCGCTATTTTTGGAAACAGGGAAAAAACGCGCATGTGATAAATATCTAATAACTTGCTCTAATATAAAAGAAAATAAAGAAATAGATCCAAAAAATAGTTAAATATCAATAATTCTAATAAATTTGTGTTATTAGACATAAAATTACTTCGAAATTGTCGATATTTTAGCAGAAAAACTCCGGTTGACTTGACTTGACCTTAACCTTGCGAAGTTCTTCCTGTTAAAACGAAAGTAGGGTGCACATGCTACTGAACTTCAGTCTGAAGCAAATCGAGAGCTTATATGGTCGGCAAAGTTTTATATTTTGGACATATAGTGGTTATTATTTGTTTATTTGGCGTTTTGTAAGTAGACATGTACATTACATCGTCTAAATGAAAACAATAATGCACGAGATTGAACCTGGCAAGCCACAGACGTTTTTTTATTTTCCTCAGTGGCTGTGCACGTTGTTTACATAAGTAAATCAAGCTTTGCTTTGAAATAAAAGTTTGCAAAAAAAAATTTGAAGCTTCTTGTTAATTAAAGGCATTTGTTTTTTTTAACAATAAATTAACAAGTAAATAAGTAAACATTTTTTTTAAATCTAAAGCTAAAGACCCATTTCAAAAATGTTGAAAGATTAAAAAAGGTTTCACCTGATAAAAGTAATAAATGTGGAGGACCTTGAACACTGTGGAAAATTTTCTAATGAGTTATTGCATTAATAAGTAAGTGCAAAAGAGATATATAGAGAATATATATCCATCAACATATTTTTGTGATCAAGCAAAATTAATTCATAATACAAGTATTCAAAATACAATGCAATCATGGAGTCAATTAAGTGGCCCTAATTACACCTAAAATTTCTGGTTTAAAGCTGCTTAATGTTCCTTCTATTTGGGAAAACCTTCAAATATTTTTTTATAACAGTATATGATATATTGTAAAATTTTTAGCATAATTAAAAATTAAAAATAAACTTGATATTTTCAAATTTAAGCTAGTTCACCACACTAAAACTGAAGTTTACTTTTAAAAAATCCAAATAGTACTGAGAAGGGAAAAAAGCATTAACATATCAGGAAAGATGCATTGATTCATTAATTTTTTTGATCATGTGCATATACATGAAAATGGTAAAGAGTGATGGAAAAATTTTGAAGTGCTGATTTTCCCTGAAATGACTGTCATTTGTGTAAACTGTGATATTTGTTTTATTTCAGTAAGTAATAAAAATACCATTTTTATGTCCTTGCTGAGGATTATATAGACTCTCAATAATTTCAAAACCAAAATATGTTCCCTGATCTTTGGTATCTTAGAGTTAGGCAAGGCGTTTAAGGCATTTACATACTCTAGTTTGCATGGAACCTAATTAGTAAGTGAAAATACTGTAAATGTATTACATTTAGCGGTGTATTCTATTTAGCGATTTTGGCGGAGAGTAGACTCCGCTAATTCAAGTACATCGCTAAATGTCTGTTATGTTAACTTTTATAACTAGCATATTCAGACAGCCCTAAATCAAATCTATGCTAACTTGTTGAAAATTGAATTTTTGGCAAATATCCTACATGCCAAATGTAATACATTTACAGTACTTGATACTCAGTACTAGAAGAACATGTATCTGAATTTTTTTTTCTAAACCAAGTTTAAGTACATGAATCAGGGAGATATTTTCTTTTTCTTTAAAATATTATTATATAGCTCTCAATAATTTCAAAACTAAAATATGTTCCCGGATCTTGGGTATCTTAGAGTTTACTTAGATTTCTTCAAGGCATTTACATACTCTAGTTTGCATGGAACCTTATTAGTAAGTGAAAATAATTGGAACATGTATCAGAATTTTTGTTTCTAAACCAAGTTTAAGAACATGTATCAGGGAGACTTTTTCTTTTTCTTTAAAATAGACTTTTGCCAGAATAAAGCATGTGGATTATATTGCACATTTCCCCCACTTTTTTTTCTATTTCATTAAAACCAAAAACTGTAAGACTGCCCCAACCTATACATGCACACACAAAATTATAAAATTCACTGGTTAAATAAATGGTAACTCTACTGTGAGTTTAAAATTAAGATGAATTGTCATTTTTTGTAGGCATAAGAAGGAGATCAGAGTCTTTAGAATGAGTAATTTGTAAATAAATTGTATGGACTTGCATGTAAATCTGTTCAATAAATTACAATCAAGACTGGGTAATAGGAATTATACTTCTCAAACTCAAAAGTACACTCTGTATAATATTGTCACCTATTGATATGTAATATGTCCTCTAGTTTACAAGTTTATAAGGCCCAAGAAGCTTCTACATTCCACCATTTCTAGATATGTAAGATAGGTATATTTGATGTTAGAGACAATCATATATGCCTGAATGAATACAGTAAAAAAGTTAAGATTTACAATGAGAATTTTTTTTTAATGATGGTCAAGAAAATTTTTCAAAATTGCAAATTCCTATACAATTACTAATCAACAACGATTACATTTTGGTCTCCAAAGATATGTTTATTTTTAAATATGAAAATGTGAATAGTTACTAAGAGTACAAAGAAATTTCATTGTGGAAATAAAATATATTTTATCATTAGGAATAATATTTTATGTTGAAGTAAAAATTCAGGCACATTAAAAACTTGTGTAACAGGAAAGGAGAAAATGTGTGGTTGGACCACGAATTGAACCCAGGAACCCTGCTTCACTAGTCAGGTGCTCTACCCAGGTTGATACCCATAGCACAACCATTACATATGCCTCTTTAAAATTATCTTCATCCTTGCAGACACTACCCAAATTCTTATTAGCCCCTGACAGGACTTTCACTTGCAAATCCAGAGAGGTCAATAGCATCAAATCTGTGACAAGGAAGGAGAAAATGCATGGCTGGACCTTGAATCAAAGAAGGGATCCCTGCATCGCTGGTCAGATGCTCTACTGACTGAGCTTACTCAGCCTATATCCATGACCCATACCATTACACTTGCATATACTTAAAAGTATTTCATAATATATTGATTGATATTACAGTACATATCTGTCAACCATCATTAACTAAATCAATTGAAAAAAATCAAAACTGTTATTCACCAGTGACCACAATGAACAAAGTAATTTATGAAAACATTATAAATGACTGTTAAAGGTGCTTAAATTTCTAAAATTTAAAATTCTAGTTTTCCTGCTGGCATTTATTGTTGCCAGCTAGGAATAAAACCTCTAAAATAAATGCCACATTTCTTACAGAATAAGAAGTATTGTGGGAGGAAAGTTGATGAATATGTTAACTTTACAAATAACATGGAGAAATGGATTTTCTTCAATAATAGCAAAATAAAAAATATTAAAGAGATTTGAGAATTACTAGAGTACTGTATTTAGGGCTGTTAGATACCAGTCATTAGAAAATAAGACCTCTATAACTTAGTGTAAATGTTATTTTATTTTTATATTTTATTTATTTAACACATTGAATGCTTAAAAATGAATACTAGTAACAGCAATTAGTTCATTGTTGTGCCAATTTGCTCCAAGATTTCCCAACCTCAGAATCTGCATATTTTTTGAGGATTATACTTTCATACTTTCTTTGATTGCCAATATTTCTTAAAATAATCACTGGTTTTATATTTACAGGCTAATTGAATCTTCAATTTATACTCTTTTAAGTTAAAATCTGAAGAAAAAAAATCCATTAACTTAAATCAGAATTCATTTAAACCTACATGAATATATCCCTTACTCAGATAAGTATACAATGACTTTTCACAACATAACAGTATATATAACATTGACTTAATCATTGAGTTATTGTTTAAATTAATTTTTCTTTTACATAATATTAAATCTAAAATTGAATTTTTAGAGCAATTGTTTTTTTTTCATCAAAGTGCAATGTTTTCTCTGAAAAATATAGTTAAAAAGCTAAAAAGTCATTTCAAAATATATTTTTTGAAAATTTGGTTTCCATGGCAACATAAAACATTAGATTTTTTTTTTTAAAAATATTTTGAATTAAAAAACACAATATTTGCTTTATATTTGCCAAATTTCAAGCAAATTGGTTGTCCTCAATTTTAGATATTTGCATTTTAGTACACCATTGTAATAATTTTGTTGATATTGCAAAACAACTCAGTCCTGAGGTTACTGTGCACGTAAAACAAGTCAGCACACAAAGGGCTAATATTTGTTTGTTGCTCGTAGAAATTATGATATCCGTTTAGAGAACTTTTTATTCATGTGGATACATCACCAACACAGTCTCTGTTCTCATCCGAGGGAGCGGTCTCTATGTACTACATTGGATTCAGACCCGTGATGTAAGAATCAGCACCTACTTCCCGACTTGAGGCGTGTCGCTCGAACCACTGGGCCACACTGTGTGACCCATTATGAAAATTTGACATAATACTTTTACGTCTATATGACTTCTAAATTTTATTGACTTGATAAAATGACTGATACACAAATAAGATTTTTGTAATCCCTCTGTTTATAGCTGTTTACCATTTGCCATATTTCTATCACTAATTAAATCAATTTTCAACAATGGCCACTAAAGAGTCATAGCTCTGTCTTATTATATAAATAGTTATCTGCCCTTGATGCAAAATGGAATAAATAAAATAAAGTATTAAATGGATTATAATTTTGAATCAAAGAAGGCCTACATATCTTAAACAAACATAATTTAGATGTAGTCTTGCTTTTATGAAAAATTGTAACTTATTTAATTTTTCTCACTCTCAGATATAATTGCTTTTCAAGAACTTTTAAATTATGGTTGTGATAGGACTGCCACTTAGAATTAGACCAGAGTGTGTCCATTTTAAAATGATACAATTTTCCATCATTTTTTTTCTTTGTCATGTGTCTATTAGAATTTTAACTGAATGTCAGGTGCAAGGAAATGGACATGCAAGTGGTTTTTGGGACTTTTCTTAGCTCATGCTAAAAACAAAAACAGTTATTAATGTACGGTACTGTACTAACTTGATCTATTTTAATTTCAGATAACCACTGAACAAATCATCTGAAAACTAAGGCTAATAGGAGAGGATGAAGAATACTTCTGTTAAAAGGTATGTTTTAACAGTGAGTAAGAACTTAATATAATTTATGTAGAGCTCTCTATTTTAGGAAATTAAGGACTAAAGCGAGTAAAGCATAAAGTTTATGTTTTTATTTTCTATTGTTTTGTTAATCTCACTGTGTAATGTTAAGCTCTCTATTTAGTATTTATCATCATGATCATAGTCAGTGTGTTGTGGGGTTGTGAGGGGGGGGGGGGGGGGGGGGGTTTACATGTAAGCTGCTTTCCTCTACTTTTTAAGTTTTATATAATATATTTATATGTTTCCATGAAGTAAACAGATGTTAACATTTTCTTAGAAAGTCTCATTTTGCGAGCTACCTACTAAAATTGTATGATTTATTTAAGATAAGTATTATCAACATTTTCAGCTTCTCTGCAACCGCTCAACCAATCTCAACCAATTTTGGTGAAGGGGAACAAAATTTATAAATTTTATCCCCCCTCCCCCCGCGGGCCTGAGGGGTGGGGCCAAAACCAATAAAATTCATGCAGTCTTTGAAAATCCCCTTCTTCTTTTCCCCTCCTGAACATCAAGCAGTCAAACTGTTGGTATGATTGTAATCGGCATTGAGTCCTCTACCATAATTATGAAATTCATGACCCCAGGGTCAAGGATTCTAGTATTAGGGTGGGTCTTATAGCTCTTTGGAATTAATCAAACCATTTAAGATGAAATAAAACCTATGAAAACATTTAGTAAATTTTGAAATGTGTGGCCCCAGGGTTAGTGGTTCCTTTGGGGTGGGGTACACAACTGGTGGTTATAAAATGGAATTGCATTGTATCTTTATTACTCTGATCTACCTTTGGGTATTAAGTAACCAAAGTAAGCATGTTAACTAAGTGTATTATTATGATAAACAAAGGTGTGTCTTTCAAAATTGTGAATTTCATGGCTTTTTGTTTAAATTACGAACAAAATTCAATTGAGTGGAAGTTGTTAGGCCTAGAAAAAAAAATATTTGTTTCCCCTTTCAGGCTGAAAAAATATAGGTAGATAGGTAGGTAATTATTTTTTTTTTGAAACATTTTTTTTTTTTGCTTCTTGAATCAAAAAGTGTATAGAAGTAACATTAATGACAAAAGAAATGGTGTTTTCAAGTATTTCTGTGACTTAAAAGAAAGGTAACTCAAACTTCTTTCTGTCTTGAACATGTTGAAAAGCTTGCAAAGTTGGAGACTCAGACCTGTTTACTCTTACGATTTCGCCGTAATTTGTACGGATTTTTAGTCTAAAATACGTCTCATGTTTTGCCATTTTGAAAATACGGAAATCGGAAATACGTTAGTTTGAAATTTAACAGTTAGTTTTCGTTATGATCTGTTTTAGTTTCACCCTTTTTGTCGCTAAATAAGAGAGAAGATTTCAAACACATAATCGATGTCAGGTTGCCAAAACGCTGTGGTATTATGGAATGACAAATACCTTGTTGTTAAATCATGTTTTATGTAATCAGAAAAGCAGTTTTTCTCTTTTAATATATGTAAAATTGATGGAAAGTGAAATCTCACTGGCAAATGCCGAATCTCACGGACAAATCTAATAACAAATACTGAGAGACAGCGTTATGGGTAAACAGGTCTGGAGACTATAATTCCACGGGTGAAATCTTGCACTTCATGGGACAAAAGCATTAAAAAAAAATTTAGGGTCGGCACTATATATTAGGGTCGGTCGGGAACAAACATATTTTTTTTTCTAGGCTTTACATGATACTCAGGTGACCTATAAGGTCTGTGGGCCTCTAGTTGTTATTCAAATATCATGAATCATGGTCTAAGGGTCTAGGTTAGGGGTACAGAAAATATTTTGATGAACAAGTAAAATGAAGAAAAAAATCCTTAATTTACTTTGAAAATCTTATCAGAAACAAATCCATACATACATATTCAGTACATTTAAATACATTCAAGTTTGTTTACTTCATTATCCCTTGTCAAGTGTTTAAAAGAGGCAACTTTAATAAACAAATGAGATTTTACACTTGATAAATTTTTAGATTTTATTTTAAATCATTCTGATCAAAAATGCTGAAAATCTGAAATTAATCAAACAAAGGCTTGTGCTAGAACAGTTTTAGGAACTTTCAGTTTGTCAATCTTATTAAAATTAAATGTTAGATCTGCGCACATATTGGCTAAAATCTAATGGCATCCTGTAGAGTGTCACGTCAGACGTTAAATTCTATTAACCAATCAAATACTCGAATGCAAAAATTATTGTATTTAATTTATTGGAATGAATAAGTCTAGAGTCTGAGTTGTTCCGTATTTGACATTTGACGTGACCTTCTATGGATGCTGTTAGATGTTGTGTAGCGAGTATGCAAGAGGATCTAACATGTTGTTTTATTTAGATCGGGATTTTGTTAAACTATATTTTTATATATTTTCAATAGGTTGAAGTAACTGATGAGCAGGTCAATCCAACTTGAACTTGAAGTGTAAGTGGGTCTTCAACAATGTGGACCACTCAAGGACTTTTCTGTTGGTTGATGATGGACTACAAACTGAATATTTAACAAAGAAATCCACTTTGGTGCTTATTGGCTACTAATGATGTGAACTTGTGCATTTATTATACCAAGTACTTTTACATTTCCTTGATGACACTAGACTTGCATATACCGAATTCAGGTTTAGTTGATTGATTGCAGTTCTAAGTTCCTCTCGCAAGATTATATCTCTCATGTATGAGACATCATTAAATGCAGACATTTTCTCTGTCCTCCTGTTGTGACATGAGAGCTCGGACTTAGTTGTAAAAATATTTATGATGCAAGAGAAAATAAATGGCCAAGCCAATGTATGTAAATGTTGATAATAACATTAAATATTCTTTGATAACTAGTGTGAGTGTGTTTTGTTTTTTCCAATATGAAAATTCAGGGGGAAAATGAGTTTTGGTTGAAAAGCTGGGCTAAATTGTATAATTTATAGTGTTTCTGTTGCGGAAACCTATGGTACACCATATGTATTTCAACCGTATACGCATACTGAAACCTTGCGTAAACCTCAAGTTTCAGCAAGTTTCAGTTGCGGAAACCTATGGTACACCATATGTATTCCAACCGTATACACATACTGAAACCTTGCGTAAACCTCAAGTTTCAGCAAGTTTCAGTTGCGGAAACCTATGGTACACCATATGTATTTCAACCATATACGCATACTGAAACCTTGCGTAAACCTCAAGTTTCAGCAAGTTTCAGTTGCCGAAACTATTTGGATTCGTGGACACCTTTGGTTTCCGCACTGCGGAAACTTGATGAAACTTGAAGTTTCCGCAATGAAACTTTGCGGAAACTATTAGTAACCTTAAGTTTCCTCAGAGTTTCAGTAGAGTTTCAGCCATGCGGAAACTGTATTTTTCATCCAGTGCATATTATCTACAGAGACTACAGACATAACACTCTACTGTATTTATCTACAGAGACTACAGACAAAACACTCTACTTTATTTATCTATAGAGACTATAGACATAACACTCTACTTTATTTATCTACAGAGACTACAGACATAACACTCTACTGTATTTATCTACAGAGACTATAGACATAACACTCTACTGTATTTATCTACAGAGACTATAGACATAACACTCTACTTTATTTATCTACATAGACTATAGACCTCACACTCTACTGTATTTATCTACAGAGACTATAGACATAACACTCTACTGTATTTATCTACAGAGACTATAGACATAACACTCTACTGTATTTATCTACAGAGACTATAGACATAACACTCTACTTTATATGTCTTCAGAGGTTATAGACATAACACTCTACTTTATTTATCTACAGAGACTATAGACATAACACTCTACTGTATTTATCTACAGAGGCTATAGACCTCACACTCTACTGTATTTATCTACAGAGACTATAGACATAACACTTTACTTTATTTATCTACAGAGTCTATAGACATAACACTCTACTTTATATATATCTTCAGAGGTTATAGACATAACACTCTACTGTATTTATCTACAGAGACTATAGACAAAACACTCTACTGTATTTATCTACAGAGACTATAGACAAAACACTCTACTTTATTTATCTACAGAGACTATAGACATAACACTCTATTGTATTTATCTACAGAGACTATAGACAAAACACTCTACTGTATTTATCTACAGGGACTATAGACATAACACTCTACTTTATTTATCTACAAAGACTATAGACATAACACTCTACTATATTTATCTACAGAGACTATAGACATAACACTCTACTGTATTTATCTACAGAGACTATAGACATAACACTTTACTGTATTTATCTACAGAGACTATAGACATAACACTCTACTGAGACTATAGACATAACACTCTACTGTATTTATCTTAGAGACTATAGACATAACGTTCTACTGTATTTATCTACAAAGACTGTAGACATAACACTCTAGAGTATTTATCTACAGAGACTATAGATATTACTGTCTATTGCATTTATTTACAGATATCACAGTCTTCTGTATTTATCTCATACGTGTTGGGGATACAGCCTTTAAGATAAACTTATGCTTCTGCTACGGGTAGATGCTTTATCAATAGCACTTCAGGTTTTCTCACTATCCCTCGCTTCAAGATTTTATTTTATTGAAACTTTTATTATTGAAAATTATTGAATGATAAAGAGCGATAATATCGTTAAAAGCAGGAAGAAGACTCGTATATGTCAAAGAAGTGTCTTATTTTATTAAGGAACATGAATTGACTAGTCTTCTTGAAGACAGATGTACCCCCCCCGGCCCCCTTTAATCGTTTTCGGAGAAAGTAAAGCCTAGCAATTAAGCTGTTGTTATAATAATTATTCCTTTAATGCTTTCTTATATCATACTACGTATGCCTACCTAGTAATGTAGGTGTAACTTACCATGGATCAACAATGAATCTACAAGTAGCCTTGCCTAACACGTTTTGTACTGCCAATGTACAAAGAGTTAATTTTCACGATCCCATGGTCCTTACAACTTTCAGTCAGAAGTTCGTTTGATGTAAAGCTCCAGGAATTGTCACATAATGTTTTCAAAGACGCAGATAGCAAAAATTTTGAATTATGATCTACTTTCTCTCGAGGCATGTCAACATCAACGTGCTACGTCATGAAGTTATACGTCATCAATTTGAATTAACAATCATTCATGTAGTTTCGCAGGGGAAGTCCTAAAGTTTTGTTTAAACGAAAGTCGTATGTGATAAATAAAGCATCTATAATCATGTGATTTGATATTGGCTTTATCCAATTGCAACTCGTTGAAATGGTGTATATTCGCTCGCCAAGCCTCGAGAATATAATTATATAGACACCATTTCAACTCGTTGGATAAAGCCAATATCAAATCACACAATATAGATATCTTCTATATATCTACATTGACTGTAGAAATTACGCTCTAGTATATTTATTTACAGATATTATAAACATTCAGTTCCACTGTTATTATCTTGAGAGACCGGGGCATATAAATATTCATATAAATATTCACTGTATTTTTACAATTTCTCAATGATAAAAAGAAAAATTTTATTCTTTAAATTCGTCATTGAAAGATATACTTGTATTTTTAAATTGTTTATGTATTTGCTTATGCGTTACTTGTTTGTTATTTTTTATTCATTTCGCATATAAGCACTTAAAAAAAATATTATATTAAATCAAATGGAATAAACACAGGGTTGCAAATGACGTTAAAGTTCGTGAGTCATGCCAAATAATGATAAATAATTAAATGTCCCCAAAAGTCATCAAGGCCAATGTCTGAGAGTTCATAGCTACAAATGGAAATGTCGACAAAAATATCGACTCCAGGGAACTTGGCAATTTCCAGATAAAAAATAGAGGCTCATGGCCAAGTTTTACTAGTCAGAAACGTCAACATGCTGTAAGACAGTGTTCTTATTGATTCCAATTCCAATATCAGTTTACACGACAAATAGATCTTTATTTTAACTTTTTTGTCCAGAAAATGACTGCTATTGGCATTTCATGTACTTTGAAATATGATTGGCCATTAACCACTTTGTAAAAAACCAAGATAAGTTTAAGAGGAAGTTGTTTTTCTTTTAGATAATATAATTTAATTTGTACAGGTTCGCCACCGGCTATGCTCTCTCTCTCTCTCTCTCTCTCTCTCTCTTCAATATCATAATCGAGAATTTTCAATGTTGTAATTAACATTGACTATCAATAATAATATTTTTGTATATATGTATACTAGAATCAAATTTATTTGAAAAACTCAAACTTTTATCTAAAGCGCTTTCGCCCCATGCGGGCTTATCAGTAGATTAGAAAATTTCAAATCTTCTGATGAGCCCGCATTGGGCGAAAGCGCTTTAGATAAAAGTTTTGTTTTACATTTAAATTTGGATTTTATTTTATCCCTATACCAAGGAAAAATAATTTTATGAATATGAATACTACTATTATACAGATTGGAGTTACTTACATTTGACAGGGATCAAATTCTAACACTCAATAAACCCACATTAGAACTATGACAAGAGTCTAAGTGAATTCAACTTCAAAATGATGATAAATGATATTTAGCATATGGAGTACTGGTAACCTTTCTAAAAACAAAAATACAATTGTACTTTGTGCACATTGACATGACAATGAATATTTAAAACATCTGATAATTTTCCTGTGATGATATAAAACATTTTTAGAACAAGTTGAATGCTGTAGTAAACCAAGAATGAAAGTTTGTTGATTTTAAGTTTCTGCCTGAAAAAAAAAAGTTTTTTGTAGCTAACAAGACAAAATACTTACACGATATCCTTAATACCCGAGATGAAGGGTCATTGTTAACGGGTGCTGTTAAGAAGTACAAAATTCTGTTCAATACTTGTGCTTTTTGTGCAAAATCTTATGTGTGAAAAGAAGAAAACACTTGCTTTGGCCTTCAACTTGACATATAGATATATCGACAACGTGTTGTAAATTAATAATGGTAATTTCCATTCATGCGTCGATATGATATACGTAGTGAGCTTGAGATAAAAGATACCACAGAGTCGGACACATCTGTTTCATACTTGGATATTTTACTTGAAAAAGACGTTAAAGGTACTTGGACACAGATTTGAAGTCAATATTTTCTCTATAATATTACGACTTATATATCTTAATAGCATTTCACACAAAAATTAATTAAAAATCTTATTTCAGTTAAAAGTTATTAAAACTTAAATTTTTTTGGCGGGTTTGATTGTAAGCTTATTTTTAATCCTTAGGAAAAGTGGCAATCTTGTTGTGTATTAATGAGAAATATTAAAATTTTTATCCAGAAAAATAATTTTATTCAGAGTAGAAATGTTAGAAAGCAAAATTCATTCACAAGTATCGTCATTCCGAAATAAGAGTTGCGTACAGAGTTTAGCAAATCGAGCACACTCGTGTTATGTACACAGTTTTTGTAAACAAGGCAAAAGCCTGTTATTGTCTAATGTTTACGATTCATCGGGTGCGTTCAGTCGTCACAGTCTGCTTACCACAATTGCACGAACTGCCAATATATTGTGAGTTTGTTTTGCTTTCAAACAAGTCTACTCTGAAATTTCTGGTTTAAAGTATTAATATTTTTCATTTATACACAACGGGATTGCCACTTTTCCTAAGGATTAAGAATAAAATTAATTTGTGAAAGTGCAAGGATGAGTCAATCAAACCCGCCAAAAAATTTGAAATGTTAATATCTTTTATATGAAATAAGATTTTTAATTAACTTTTGTGTGAAATGCTATTAAGATATATAAGTCGTAATATTATAGAGAAAATAATAACTTCAAATCTGTGTCCAAGTACCTTTAATGTTAA